GGGTATTGAATGCTATTTGGTAAGTAGGATACTTAAGAGCTCACTCCTTCTTCCTCAATAAACTTAAATGCACCGAAATAAATATACCAAGGCGACACAATAATCAAGTATTCATTATTTTATAATTGAGTGAAGAGTCGACGGTTTTAATGGACTATTTTTAAACAGGCGTGTTTAACTAACAGGTGGGTAACTATTCCGCCATCATGGATGTCCGACGGAGGGCGAACCCCTCACAGGACGAACCCATTTTAAATCGAACATATTCTTCGCTTTCATCAGATACTCAAGAAACCAGTTCAGTTGAACCGACAAGTCCCCTTTTCGGAGTTTCCATCATCCACTGGCTTGTCATACTATGCGTACTGCTGGCACTGACCATTACCGTCCCCCCCGTAGCACACGAATGCTCTCTTTCGGGTGAAGATTCCAATTTTGGGAAAGCAAATGATTCGTTCAATTGTGATGCTGTGCGCAAACATCTGAGCTACGTGACTGGACTTGGGCCGCGTACTTGTGGGTCTATCGCCAATGAAGTGCATGCGAAAGATTACCTGATAACTCAACTTCGGGATCTGGAAATGCAAGCAAAGAAAGGTCCAATTCAGGGGATATTCAAACAACAAATTTCTTCATATTCCTCATTCAAGACTCATTCTCACGTAACTAGCTACAACAATTTGCCTAATCTCCTCTTTCGTTTGCATGACTCGCGTTCAAATAGCTCAAAACCTAGCCGTGCTATTCTTGTGAATTGTCACTACGATACCGCCCCGGGTAGTCCAGGCGCCTCTGATGCATTTGTTAGCTGTGCCAACAACTTGGAGGTAATCCACGTCCTACTTAAAGCTAGGACAGTGTTGCTTCAAGATGTTATTTTCCTATTCAATTCTGCAGAGGAGTCGATTCTCCCCGCTAGTCATGCCTTTGTGACTCAACATGAATGGGCTGAGGATGTAGCACTTTTCATCAATCTCGAGGGTGCGGGCGCTGGTGGGAAACTTTTGGTTTTCCAGAGTGGTCCTGGTATGGCCAGTTCGGTTCTTATTGACGTCTACTCAAAAGCAACACACAGGCCGTCAGCTGAGGTAATGGCTGAAGAAATATTTCAGTTTGGATTGATACCTTCAGACACTGACTTCCGCATCTTTCGTGATTATGGCCTGATACCCGGCCTTGACCTTGCCTATGTCGCAGATGGCTATTCGTATCACACGCTCCATGACGTACAAGAACGCATCTCGCCAGCCTGCCTTCGGTTAGCTGGTGAAAATCTTCTCAGTTTGGTTCGTACAATGGCTGCCGATCCACGCATAGTCAATCTTCCAAAGCTTGAAATAACTCGCACCGAATCTCATATGCCGGTGTCTGATGAATCGCCGGAGGGTAGCCTTGGCAGCATTCACGCTTCATCATCCCTAGGACGACAGCCTGATTCTTCACGTTATGTCTACTTCGAT